TACGCGTCGGTTTCGACCGCGCAAAGAAGGTGACGGCCCAACTTCTGAAGCAGGAGTACGCCAACCTCAAATTCAAGGATGGTGAATCGGTGGAGGATTTCTCCCTCCGCCTGTAGACGCTCATCAGCAAGCTGAAGAGCCACGACGTCACCATCGACGAAGAGGAGGCGGTCTCCAAGTACCCCCACTCCGTGCCGACAAAGTACATCCAGATCGTTCTCTCCATAGAAACGATGCTGGACTTGTCCAACCTCACCATTGAGGATGTGACAGGCCGTCTGCGGGCGGTGGACGAGCGCCTGAAGCAGGCGACAACAACGAAGGACAACGGCAAACTGCTGCTAATAGAGGAGGAGTGGGCTGCTCGGAGGAACTCCGGGGTAGCCTCCTCCAGCCGCGATGGCGATAGCAAGCGTCGCGGCAAGGCTTCTTCGGAGAAGAAGAAGCAGGTCCACCCCAACGCCTGCAGGCGCTGCGGGAAGATATGCCATTAGGCATGGGAGTGCCCAAATCGCAAGCAGGAGAAAAAGGCTCAGGCTCATCTGGCGCAAGCTGATGATGAGAATGAGGCAACTATCCTGATGGCGATGTTCTGTGCACTGCACGACGTCGAGGCCGAGGAGAAGGGAGAGGTGACGACGGTTGAAGGACCTGGGAAGGCCCTAAAGGCTGTCAACCTCGACGAACCATGCGCCCAAGTCCACCTCGGACGTGTGGGCGCCGACCAGGAGCAGCGGTGGTATCTGGACTCTGGTGCCAGCAACCACATGACGGGCTCCAAGGAAGCCTTCTCCGAGCTCGACGACGATGTTACTGGTACGGTGAAGTTTGGTCATGGCTCAAGGGTGGAAATTCAAGGGCGCAGCACCATCATCTCCAGGTGCCAGAACGGGGAGCACCGCGCGCTAACGGATGTATATTACATCCCGCAGCTACGTTCAAGCATCATCAACATTGATCAGCTGGATGAGCGTGGTAGCGAGGTACTGATGAAGGATGGAGTCCTTAGGATCAGGGACCGGGAGCAGCGACTTCTCGCCAAGGTGAAGAGGTCCCTAAACCGGTTGTACCTGCTCGACCTGAAGGTAGAGCAGCCGGTGTGTCTGGCGGCAAGGCACACCGAGGAGCCGTGGCTGTGGCATGCCCGGTTCGGACATCTCAACTTTGACGCGCTTGGTCGACTGGAGAAGATGGTCCGAGGGCTACTCCATATCAAGTACGGAGGCAAGCTGTGTGACAGCTGCCTGGCCAAAAAGCAGAGGAGGCTACCATTCCCACAGGCAGCCACGTATCGCGCGAAGGACGCTCTCGAGCTCGTCCACGACAACCTCTGCGGGCCGATCACACCAGCCACAAAAGGTGGTCGGTGGTACTTCCTCTTGCTCGTGGATGATTGCAGTCGCTACATGTGGCTGCAACTCCTGACGAGCAAGAACGAAGCGGTGGCGGCGATCAAGAAGTTCAAGATGCGCGCGGAGGCCGAGAGTGGCAAGAAACTCCGCATGCTGAGGACTGATCGCGGTGGCGAATTCACTTCGGTGGACTTCACTGCGTACTGCGCGGATCAGGGTGTGGTGCGACACCACACCGCGTCGTACTAGCGACAATAAAATGCGTGGTGGAGCGACGGAACCAGATGGTGGTCGGCATGGCCCGATCCATGATGAAGGCCAAAGGCATGCCGGCAAGGTTCTGGGGGGAGGCGGTGACCACGACGATGTTCATCCTCAACCGTGCTTCGACCAAGGCCCTGACGGGCAAGACGCCGTTCGAAGCTTGTTATGGGCTTAAGCCGAGCGTGTCCTTCCTCCGAACATTCGGCCACATCGGCCATGTCAGGAAGACGAAGCCGAACCTCACCAAGCTGGAGGACAGGAGCACATCGATGGTGTTTCTGGGCTACGCGGAGAGTACCAAGGTGTACCGGCTCTATGACCCACGCGGAGACAAGGTACTTGTCTCGCGCAACATCGGATTCGACAAGAAGGCGGCTTGGGATTGGAGCAGTCCGAGCATAGGGGAAGCTGGCGGCTTCATCGTACCTTCGTCGTCGAGCACTTGGTCATCCAAGGTGGCGGAGACGCTGGGGAAGAGGTGCCGAGCACTCCAGCGGCAGAGCCGAGCACTCCTGGGGTAGTGCCGAGCACTTTAGGAGGGATGCCGAGCACTCCTAGAGGGATATCGAGCACGCTAGGAGTGATGCCGGGAGGTTCTGCAGTGGTGGCGACCACTCCAGGACGGGTGCCGAGCACTCCCATAGCGGAGCCAAGATGTCTTGCAGTGGTGCCGACCACTCCAAGACTGAGGCTGAGCACTCCTACAGTGGTGCCGAGCACTGCAGGAGTAGTGACGAGCTGTCCAAAAGTAGTGCCGAGCACTGCAACCAGGGTGCCGAGCACTCCAGGTGCTATGCCGAGCACTCCGGCGGAACAGGGAACTCCATCAACACTGATCGATTTTGTCTCACCTCCAAGTGACATCGCTGAGTTCGTGGATGCCTTCCACGAAGGTGAGGAGGTGCGGTTCCACAGGCTAGACGACCTCGTCGGCGGCACAGGGCCCTCAGGCCTGGCGGGTAAGCTGCTCAACGACCCTGAGCTGCTTCTTATCAGTGCTGAGGAACAACCCATGTTCGCGCTAGCCGAGCACGATGGAAACTGGCGATGGGCGATGCTGGAGGAGATGAAGGCAATCGAGGAAAACGAGACTTGAGAGCTCGTCGATCCACCTCCAGGATGTCGTCCGATCAGTCTGAAGTGGGTGTACAAGGTCAAGCGGGACGAGCTCGGCGTCATTGTCAAGCACAAGGCGCGCCTCGTCGCCCGAGGCTTTGTTCAGCGCGAGGGCATCGACTTCGAGGAAGTCTTTGCGCCAGTAGCGCGCATGGAGTCCGTTCATTTGCTACTAGCCTTGGCAGCAGCAAAGGACTATCGCGTCTATCACTTGGAAGTTAAATCGGCCTTCCTCAATGGCGAACTGGCGGAGACGGTCTTCGTCAGGCAACCTCTAAGTTTCGCCGTCAAGGAAGAGGAGCACAGGGTGCTCCGACTGCGCAAGGCGCTCTACGGGTTACGGTAGGCCCCACGAGCATGGAACGCCAAGCTTGATGCCACGCTAGGCGAGCTTGGGTTTCAGCTATGCGCAACCGAGCACGCACTCTACACGCGGCGACGGGGGAAGGAGGAACTCGTCGTCAGCGTGTATGTGGATGACTTGATCATCACCGGTGCGCGCACGGAGGGCATCAACAGCTTCAAGCGCGAGATGGCGGCTCGTTTTTGAATGAGCGATCTCAGCGCACTCTCCTACCACCTCGGTATCGAGGTGAGACAGGGGAAGGAGGAACTCACGCTTGATCAGAGCGCGTATGCCTCAAAGCTGTTGGAGCGGAGCGGCATGGCTGAGTGCAAGCCATGCGTGACTCCGATGGAGGAGCGGCTAAAGCTGACGAAGACCAGCACCGCGGCGAAGGTGGATGCAACACTCTACCGGAGCATCATCTACGGTCTGCGCTACCTAGTCCATATGAGGCTAGACATTGCGTTCGTCGTGGGCTACGTCAGTCGCTTCATGGAGGATCCCAGAAAGGACACTGGGCTGCGGTGAAGCGGCTACTGCGCTACGTCAAAGGGACGGTGCATCAGGGGACCATCTTTCCCACGACCGACGGGAGTAGGCTGCAGCTCACTATGTTCAGCGATGCAGACATGGCGGGGGACATCGACGGACGACGGAGCACCTCTGGTGTGCTCGTCTTCCTCGGGTCAGCTCCAATTTCATGGCTGTCGCTGAAACAGAAGATGGTGGCGCTGTCTACGTGTGAGGCAGAGTACGTATCGACGACCACAGCAGCGTGCCAAGTTGTGTGGCTGTGCCGGCTGCTGGGCGAGCTAACCGGTGCGGAAGCTCACCCACTAGCACTGATGGTGGACAACCAGCCCGTCATCGTCCTCGTGAAGAATCCGGTTCTGCACGACCGGAGTAAACACATCGACGTGAAGTTTCACTTCCTCAGGGACTGTGTCGATGGAGGGCAGATCGTCATCGATTTCGTCGAAACTGGTCGGCAACTCGCGGACGTCCTCACCAAGCCGCTCGGACGTCTTCGACTCACGGAGCTGAAGGAGATGATCGGCATGGAGGGGTACAAGGGATAGCAGTAGGATTAGGGAAAGAATTATAAGATAATCTACTCCTTTATTGTGTGAACATACAGCAAGGGAAGGAGGCGCCGAAAAGGCTCCCTGCTGTGGTACTGTAGCCACTGTAGAGGCAGACGCCGAATGGCTCACCTGCCGCACTGCAGCCACATGTAGGGACAAGCGCAGAAGTCAGTCCTGCTGTGTTATCTAGACACTGTTACAGCAGGACAGCTGTACTAGGACTAGATGGATAGAGTTGTATATATATTTTGCCACTGCAACTCAACAAAAAGAGTTCAGATTTGACATCTCCTATACAGAGCTCCGGCCAACGCTGGTGCTTGTACCGTGTGTGTATGCTATGTTCTCCCTCTAGCCATAGCGTGTGTGGATGGACAACACTTCTTCGTGGTCGGCATAGCTAGTCGGTTCTCGGCAACACTAGCGGGTGCTCGATAAAACTGATGAGTGATCGACTCACCTAAGCCAGTGATCCTGTAGGCTAACATGATGTAGACATCGTGGATGCTCTGGAATATCTTCACAATCAGTGTCAGCCGCCACTAATCCATTGCGATCTCAAGCCAAGTAACATCCTCCTTACAGAGGATATGAGTGGCCGTGTTGGAGATTTCGGCGTATCGAAAATCCTTTCTGATGACACTAGTAAAACTCTGCTAAATTCAGTCAGCTTCACTGGACTGAGGGGCTCCATTGGTTATATCGCTCCAGGTAACGAGCTCGTACTCATGTTGTTACCTTCGGTCTCTAACTTCCATTCTGCCACGTATACCATTCTCTGCATGTGTACTGAATCCACTGACGAGATAAAATGATGTCTGAAATCTGAATCTGCAGAGTATGGCGAGGGTCGATCTGTCTCGACTCTTGGGGATGTCTACAGCCTTGGGATACTGTTGCTTGAGATGTTCACCGGGAGGAGCCCTACTGACGAAATATTCAATGACTCATTGGACCTTCATAGGTTCGCCGAAGCTGCTCTCCCCAACGGAGCCTCGGAGATCGCCGACCCAGCAATCTGGCTGCATGATGAAGCGGCTGTTGGTGCCACAGTAAGAAGCCGGAGCAAGGAGTGCTTGGTTTCAGTGATCCGGCTCGGCGTCTCCTGCTCAAAGCAGCAGCCAAGAGAGCGAATGGCGATACGAGATGCTGCTGTGGAGATGCGTGCGATCAGAGACGCGTACCTCATGGTTGCCAGCTAGCTGGACGGAGATCTGGAAGAGAAGCAAGCAAGCCGCCGAACCCTCTTATTCTGATTAATTTCTGATGTTCAAGATCATAGAAGCAGCAAAGCAGGAGGCGGCCCAGTTATGAACTAAAAATCATTGTACGGTTTAGAACCTTCATTCATAGCTATGACAAAGATGAAATCAACACAATTGTTATTTGTTATACTAGCTTCTTGTACCATTGTGGAAACACGTGCTAAGCGCATTCTCGAAAAAAAAAACTTCTTGTACCATTGTACGCTGGTGAGGTTGGGCATTAACAGGTTTTCTTATTTGGATTTGGCAAACTAATTGCTTGATTGGCTGCTATAGTTCTTTTAAGCTCAAGGTGGAGAGCTGAAGGTGTATCTGCTGACCGTACACAGTTCATCATTGGATTAGGAAGAACAAAGAGATAAGGAAGCCCAACAGGAATAAGCAAAGGCTGATGATTGACTCTGGCCAAGAAACAGAACACGTCAATTTAGGCCAAGGAAATGGCCTGTGTTTTTTCCAGAGGACAAGGAAATTGCATGTTTATTGGGTTTCATCAAGAATTCAAGATAAACAACAAATCTGAAACAGTTGGATGTACACTTCACGTCGCCGAAAACAGTATGCTCTGATGTTGATTGGACATTGACACTTCACCCACTGCCCAATAATGCGGTAGCCACTCAATCAGGGTGTCTTTGGGAGGGTGACTGAGTCCGGCTTGGCCCGCCCGCCTGGCCCAGGCCAGTCCAGGCCTACCCCAAATGGTGCAAAAGCTCTTGTTGTGAAACGGGCCAGACCCACTTGAGATTGTGTTTGTTTGCACACATGCAGTCGGGTTGAGGAGCCAACTAACTCCAACTACCAAACCGAGATTGTGTTTGGCTGTTGGTTGCCTCGGCCAGGCCCATAGACAGGATGCAGAAATGCAGTTATAGCAATAGAATGAGCAACAGTTTAGAACAAATAAACCATACAATTAGTGTTGTTAAAAGCACTAGGCCTCGGACAAATTAACAGTTGATCAATCCATAACAGAGCGGGCTACACGGTACAATTAAAGAAGTAAGCAAGGAAGAACAGGTCCATTTGCAGCAGGGAGTCGCATGCTAAACAGCTTAGCATAGGTGGTGAGTTTACAACTCTCATATGGCTTATGACAGAGCACTGTCATCAAGCTGGTTAGAGACCAACCTCTTACTAGGGATGGCAATGGCCCTGTCCACTGTTTTCATGGCAGTTGTTATTAATCCCCATACTTGGGATGTGGTTAAATATGACATTGGATCTGTGCGTATCTTATATCGTATAAAAAAACATTATATGAAATGTTGAGCCACCATTGATTCTATTTAATATGTCATGGTCAATTGATGTCCATCTTTAGTATCTTGAAGTCTTATTGTGTTGATATAAATCATGATGTTGCTATTGCCATTTTGATGCTTGTAAAGGGGGATGGAGAACCCAGTGGGTATCCATTCAATTCGTATGGGTGGGGGTGGGGAAAAATGAGCTTCAAGGACAAGGTATTTTCTTCCCAGTGGGTATGAAATGGGGAGGAGTGCTTCAGGTCCAGATCAACGACCATTTGCTATTACAGTTCATGAACTTGACTCTCAAGGAAAGCTCAATGAGTCCGCTATATTAGACACTGATGATGTCGTGCAGGATGATTTCAGAACCAAGAACCAAGATACTGGTGAAAGCTATATGTATGAAGAAATATGGGGCTGTCGCAGATGACAAGTCTCTAAGTAAGTAAGTATGATAATTGATAAGGAATAATCTAAAACTGGTTCCACGGTCAGTACTATCCCATGTTTATAAATAGTTCACTCTTCATTGGCATCTTGCTTCTATGCTATGAACAGAGGATGCTGGGAATTCATTTTTAATGGGCACATGACACACGTCACAATGTCCTGTATCTTGTATGTCAGTGTCAGTGTCCATACCAAAATTCACAAGGGTCACATCTTGGGCTAAAGGAGATCATCACTCATCAGCAAATAAGCATTGACATTATTAAAAGGTTTTCTGTCAGACTTGCAATATCAGAGTATGCTTGTCTGATTATTAGTACAATTTCAAGTACTGTTTTACATGCTTGTACTCTGAGGGGCATGTGAAATTATTTGCTTGTTCATCTGTTATGTGTGCTGTCTAGTTGTTGCCAACATATGGACAAGTAAACTATGGATAAAATTATGTTTTATATCTTCCATAGAATTTGGAAAACGCTGAATTAGTACTGCTGGTTTCAAACGGCTGGCAAACAGTTACAAACTGAACTGATGGTACAATCACTTCATTTTTGGCATACCTCTGCTTAACTTGTACCTCCGTTTTCTTCTGTTAAATTTATAGATCATATGTTGCCTGGCTACTCAGGAACTCGTCTAGTACTGTCACAGTTGTGTTTGGTCACTTTCCACGCTGCCAATCCTAATCTATTCTCAGGTAAATCTATTATTGTCTTATATATTCACTTCCACGCTCAGCAAGGAACAAGCACAACATAGTAGCAAGCAAGAAAGACGGTAAGAACGACCATCACTGAACTATGATAGCAAACCCTAATCCATTGAGGAACAAACCAATCATGAACAACAACTAGGATATGAAACCCTAACATCATCGCCGTGAAGGAGGGAGGATTAGGGGTCGATTTCACCTCGGGGTCGGGGTCGACGCAAAGGAGCGGCGCAGCGGGAGGAAGAACAAGACCCGGCGAGGCAGACGAAGCAGATCTGGCCGGAGAGGAAGCAGATCTAGCCGGAAGAACAGCTTCACCACCACCGCACCCACAGAAGAAAGAGGGAAGAAGACGGCCGCCTCCACGGAATCCCTAAGGTCGAAGGAGTGACGCCGCGTCGTAGAAGATCCAAGGTGGGAGAATGGAGACGAAGCCCGCCGGGGGAGGACGCCGCCGCAACGCACACCAGCTCACCACCACTGCCGGTCTCTCACGTGGCTAGAGGAAGGCGAAGAGCGCGGAGAGGAAGGAAGGAGAAGCAGCAGCAAGCGCTGCTTATAAAGGCGGAGGATTTTGTCGGTGGGGAGAGCGCGCTTGGAGCCTTCCCTCTTCCCGCGCGAGCCACCCATCGCCGCCGAAATCGCCCCCAAATCGCCCGCCCTTGCGCCGCACAGAGCCGCTCCCGGAAGAAACGAACCAAGTGCTCGGGCCGTTTTGCTCCCGCCGGCCAGGCTCCAGAGCAGGCCAAGCATCCCAAACACGAGGGTTGCAGCCCAGGAGCGTAGCCGGGCTCCTGGGCCACGCTCCCAAACGCGCCCTCAAAGTCTCAATGTGCGTGCTAGTATTTGCCAGCAGGGTGCATGAGCACGAACAGGTTGATCTCGTTGACGTCCGTCTCCGGCGTCGGCTTGCTTATCATCTTGAACAGCATGTACCCGCGCGCGAGCCTGAACTTGCCGGTGCCGCCGACCACGGCGCGCTCGATGGTGCCGGTGAACCCGAGCAGGGGGGCCCTGCACGGACAGCGTGCTCCCGCCGTACTCGCCGGCGGTGAACACCAGCGTGATGGACGTCAGGTAGCCCTTGCCCAGTTCCACGCTCGTACCGAAGAAGACGCCCTGGTACCGCCCCACGAGCTGCGACGACCGGTCCGGGCCCACGCGTACCTCGTCGTCCACCACGCCCATGCTCCCGAACGACGAGTTGGCGCCCAGTGGGGACTGCAGCACGGCGGCGGCCGTGGCGTTCGCCCCCGTGTACGTCTCGTGGACGTACAGGTGGATGTGCGTCAGGCCGTGGTCGCCTTCGCCGCCGCCGGCGGCGGCAGCGAGGACGGCGACGGGCGACGTCAAGGCAAGGAGGAAGAGGAGGTGGGGAAGCGAGGACGGGGCCATCGTGATGGCTGCCTTGTGGCCCTGTGTCGTCCAGTGTTTCCCGGCTTTCATTTAAATAGGAATACGTACGAACGTGGCCATGAATGTGGGAGTGGGAGTGGGACGCAAAAACTAGATGATGTTTTCTTTCTTTCTCTTTTTTTTTTGACAAAGAAGCAATAGATGATGTTGACTTGCCAACAGCTTCATGGGTGTGCAAATGGTGGTGGTTGTGCGCGCCAGCTGCCTCCCTTTTCTTAGTTTAATTTTTATTTATACAAGGGTTGCGGTTGAAAAAAAAAAGAAGAAGAACAATCGTTTGTACTTTTAAACACGTTGACCAAGCAGTATATTTTTTTTTCTTCAAAACACGACACAGATGGCCGTCTGTCTTCTAATAATAGGCTTAGCCGCTTAGCGCTCACTCTCCATTCCTTTATTGCTTTTGGTCAACGTGTTCTAGCCAAATGGTGATTCACATGCTAACTTCGATCGAGCCGTCTACACATCCATTCTCTCTACCTCCCCCTCCTCTCTCTCTCTCTCTCTCTCAACCTCCATCTCTCTCACGGCGGTGGCACGGAGGCCCCAGCACGGCGGCGAGGCAGCCATGGCGGGGGCAGACCCGCCCCCGCGGCCGCGGCACGGTGGCCCAGGCCCCCGTCCATGGCGGGGCGGACCCGCCCCCCAGCGACCAGCGTGGCAGCGCGGTGGCCCTGGCCCTCGGCCATGGGAGGGCGAGGCGCCCTTGGCCACTGACACGGCGGCGAGGTGGCTGCGGCGCGGCTGTTCCCTGGCAAGGGCGCGCCAACTCCCCGACGCGGGATGCAGCTGTCTCCACGGTGCGTGTGTAGCCGAGCCCCGGGAGCACACGACTCCGCCGCGCGAACTTCTTCTGCTGTCGCCTCCTTTGCCTTTTCGCCGACCTCGGCTTCCCGCACAGTTGCCGCGTTTCCGGCGCAGGGTTCTAGCACCTCAGCACCTCCTCGGAGGCGGACTTTGTTACTAGACCTCGATGACACGCTCAATCCAAGTCCAGCAGCCATAGCTCTACCTTCTCCAACTACCGATCCCAGGTACAAGCCTACAATCCATGGCCTGCTCCTTAAGTCCTACTCAACATCTTCCTGTTCTCGCCAGTGATGGCAGGCGCTGCAGGCACCACGCATAGGAACTCGCTGCCCAACACTACTTCGCCCTCCTGTACGCATCCAACAACCTTCTCCATTTGCTTTGATGAAACGACTAAAGTAAGGTGATGCTCCTCAACTGTTCGATGAAATGTCAAGATAGCGTATGCTACATTTTCCATTCAATTTGTGTCAATGAAAGAGAAAAGATTCTGTAATTTTAAGTTCGCACAGTTCCATTTTTATTCTTCCATTACCAGAATAATATTAGAGCTTAATACTTTGATAAGGAGAATCATTAATATTCATTATCAACAACAACAACAACAACAAAGCCTTTAAGTTCCAAACAAGTTGGTGTAGGCTAGAGTTTAAACCCAATAGAAGCAATCAAGGTCCAGGCACGTGAATAGCTGTCTTCCAAGCACTCCTATATAAGGCTAAGTCTTTGGGTATATTCCATCCTTTCAAGTCTCCTTTTATTGTCTCTACCCAAGTTAACTTCGGTCTTTCTCTGTCTCTCTTCACGTTACTATCCTGGCTTTAGATTCCACTACGCACCGGTGCCTCTAGAGGTCTCCGTTGGACATGTCCAAATCATCTCAACCGGTGTTGGACAAGTTTTTCTTCAATTGGTGTTACCCCTAATCTATCACGTATATCATCGTTCCGAACTCGATCTCTTCTTGTATGACCGTAAATCCAACGCAACATACGCATTTCCGCGACACTTATCTGTTCAACATGTCGTCTTTTCGTAGGCCAATATTCTGCACCATACAACATAGCAGCTCTAATCGCCGTCCTATAAAACTTGCTTTTTAGCTTCTGTGGTATCCTTTTGTCACATAGGACACCAGATGCTTGTCGCCACTTTATTCACCCTGCTTTGATTCTATGGCTAACATCTTCATCAATATCTCCGTCTCTCTATAGCATTGATCCTAAATATTGAATGGTATCCTTCCTAGGCACTACTTGACCTTCCAAACTAATATCTTCCTCCTCTCGAGTAGTAGTGCCGAAGTCACATCAAATATACTCAGTTTTAGTTCTACTGAGTCTAAAACCTTTGGACTCCAAAGTCTTCCGTCATAACTCCAGTTTCTGATTCACTCCTGTCCGGCTTTCATCAACTAGCACTAAATCGCCCGCGAAAAGCATACACCAAAGGATGTTCCCCTGTATGTCCCTTGTGACCTCATCCATCACTAAGCCAAACAAATAAGGGCTCAAAGCTGATCCTTGATGTAGTCCTATCCTAATCGGGAAGTTATCCGTGTCTCCATCACTTGTTCGAACTCTAGTCACAACATTGTTGTACATGTCCTTAATGAGCCCGACGTACTTCGTTGGGACTTTATGTTTGTACAAAGCCTACCACATAACATTCCTTGGTATTTTATCATACTCCTTCTCTAAGTTAATAAAAATCATGTGCAGGTCCTTCTTCTTCTCCCTATACCGCTCCATAACTTGTCTTATTAAGAAAATGGCTTCCATGGTTGGCCTTCCGGACATGAAACCAAATTGGTTCATAGAGACCCGCGTTATTGCTCTCAAGCGATGCTCGATAACTCTCTCCTATAGCTTCATAGTATGACTCATCAACTTAATTCCCCAGTAATTAGTACAACTTTGAATATCCCCTTTATTCTTGTAGATCGGTACCAATATACTTCTCCTCCACTCATCAGGCATCTTGTTCGATCGAAAAATATGGTTGAACAGCTTGGTTAGCCATACTATAGCTATGTCCCGAGGCATCTCCACACCTCGATTGGGATACCATCCGGTCCCATCGCCTTACCTTCTTTCATCATTTTCAACGCTTCTCTGACATCGGATTTTTGGATTCTCCGCACAAAGCACCTATTGGTGTCATCAAAAGAGTTATCCAACTGAAAGGTTATGTCCATATTCTCACCATTGAACAATTTGTCAAAATACTCTTGCCATCGATGTCAGATCTCATCCTCCTTCACCAAGAGATGCTCCTTTTCATCCTTAATGCACTTAACTTGGTTGAAGTCCCTTGTCTTTCTCTCACGAACTCTAGCCATCCTATAAATGTCCTTCTCTCCTTCCTTCGTACTCAAATGTTGGTAAAGATCCTCGTACGCTATACCCTTTGCCACACTTACAGCTCGTTTTGCAGTCTTCTTTGCCACCTTGTACTTCTCTATGTTGTCCACACTCCTGTCATGGTACAAGCGTCTATAGCATTCTTTCTTCTCCTTAATAGCCCTTTAGACTTCCTCGTTCCACCACCAAGTATCTTTAGCCTCGCCTCCACTTTCTTTGGTTACTCCACACACCTCTGAGGCCACCTTCCGAATGTTGGTTGCCATCTTCTCCCACATGTTCTTCCTTAATATTCATTATAGCACCAAATTAATATTCATTATAGCACATACTATTCATTATACCCATTAAAATTCATTATAGCACCTACTATTTATTATTCATTAAAGTTAGACAAAACTAATTAGAAATTATCTTTTCTGTTTGATGTTTATTGAATTAACGATTACCAAATTATTATCCCTATGAAATCTACAGCCATTCAATGTTAGCATTCGCTCTGTTAACCGGTGAGCTTCTCCATTGGCTTTAATACTGATACTTCTCAACAATTTTATGAAATGTCAAGGTACCAAATGCTACATTTTTCATTCCATAATAGTTAATGGAAGAAAAAAAATTCTAAAACTTAATTATGTGGAATTCCATTATTATCCTTCCATTAGCAGAATAATATTACAACTTAATGCTTTTAGAATCATCTGTATATACTGCACCAGTCCCTCCATGACTAATGTGATTAAGCAAAACATTAATATTCCATTGTAGTGCCTACTTTTTATTGTTGATTGATCGAACGAATTAGGTCAGAGCTACTCTCAAAGTTGACAAAATTCACTACAAATTTTCTTCACTATGTGATATTTACTCAGTTCACCAATACCAAATTATGGTCCATGTGGACTCTACGGCCATTCAGTTGACTATATCACCTTTATATTTTATAGCTAAGGGAAACTCTCATCAAGCCCCATTAGCAGCAAAATGGGTTTATACTTCTAAATATCTAAAAAAGAATCTATACCAAAGCAGTTTGCCAATTACCAAAAAGCTCTTACCAAAGCAGTTCACCAATTAGCAAGAATATAATCCTCTTTTTTGGTACAGGGTTACACAAATTTGAATATGCATTAACAATACAATTTAACTTTCTATTCAGGTTGCATATTGGAACTCCTAGGCTGTTATATGCCTTGTGTTACAAAGAAGTGGCAGTCTGAAGCTAACTGGATCATAAAACAGTATCATCACAGAATTCAAGTAGCCAGTTTCCCTGACTCTTCTCTTTGCTAATCAAATCCATTGAAGATGTGCACCCTCATGGAACTAGGTCGTGTTTGCATAGTTGGGAGCATTTTCGGCTACAATTTTGCCGTGGCACTCTTATTGTTTATGTTATCAACTTTTAATTGATTCCTTCCTTGCTAATGTTTATGTGGAATAAGCTGCAGGTCCAGGTTAGTTTTGTGTGATCTCCAATTCACATTAGGTGCTATATATATCAATAACATAGTATGCAGGTTACTCCTTGTCTGTGCAACTCTAAAGTTTCTTTGATAGCAACATAGCATAAACTCCCCCGTGCATTAAAAAAAAGACTGATATATTACATGCATGAGCTTTAGTGGATTTCATGGATCTATTTTTTCTTATATTGAGTAAGTCATTTCTATGTTTACTATTCCTGAGCACACTGTTAATATATGAAGGTAGCTATGCTGCAACTAAGCTGCAAGTTACTCCTTTTGTTTTAACAGATTGTCTGTTGATCTTCTATATCGAATATACTAGCTCTAGCATTATCAAACATTACTCACCCAGCCAAACAGAAGAGCTCCTCTTACCATCTATGCAGGTGTCTTAATCATGGCAAAATATGGTGCTCATTTTATCTGTCTAGGACAAGCAACAGACAGGGGTCACTGTCTCGAAAACATTGCCAGTTGAGAGACAAAGGGGAATAATAAGAGCAACATCTGATAGGACATCTAAATCTTAGCTCTCCCTCTCTCATATGATTTTTCCTTTTTAACCTTATTATCACTTCTTTATTTTACTCACTAGAACAAAATAGATGATAGGTTGATAAAAGCTTGATGTTTTTAAGCAATATTTTTGTTACATTTCAACAAGACAATAGATGCACTTCAGGTTAAAAATTAAAATACTTTTGCGCAACTTAAATATTATGTATCTAAAACTTATTAGTGCTCTACTGCTCTTAGGCTCTTCATTACTGTACTCCTGATATTTTCATTTGGTTAGAAACAACAAGTGAAATCTTGTCTTAAGATTTGTTTACCAAGATTTAACTTGATAAAGTAAGGAGTGTAGACCACTTACCTAGCATTTGCTTTGGCAATAATGAACTTATGATTATTGGTTATTCTCTATATTATCATTCTGATATTGAGTTCATGTCATGATCATCAATAGATGATATGACTGTATCCTGAACTCTATATTTCTGCACCCTGTATTGACTATAGTATTATTTTTTATTTGTACTAGGCTAGAAGTTTGACAGATTGTTTTCTTTAAAGCAGGAAACGAACAGAGGTTCTCTTCCATTGTTCAAAGAGAGAAACAAAGAACCAGAAGGCAGATATCATGCTTATATATCCATATGGATTTTTTTTGAGCAATTTGCATTGTACTCCCTCCGTTCCAAATTATAAGTCGCTTTGACTTTTTTGGTTCATCCATTTTGCTATGTATTTAGATATGAAGTATAATCTTATTACATAAGCAAAACAAATGCCTGTTGACTCATACCGAATACCTGTTCACTCATAACGACCAATTCGAGTGAATATAACCTAGAGCGTTTATGCACAAAGCATGGCTTATGTAATAACTCAGATATTTTTTTAACTATTTTCCAGTACCTGCACAACAAGATTGGTACACAATGATTAAATGGAGTGGCATGCAGCATTCATATTTATTAGAGTATATATATGGGAGAGGCGAGTTAACTTATGTAATAAGCACGATATAGACCATGGGTCAAAATGCAAAGAAGAAAACACTGGCTAACTACTTGGTCTAGCATCCTCCGCGTACCGTGTTCTCTAGTCTCACTCTAGATCGATCTTAATTGTCAAGTCTAGTGTGGCAAACACGATCATATCTGGAGTCGTTCCAGAGAGCATTCAGCATTGGCATGTTGGCAAACTTGGTTATGCTAGTGGTTTTTTTTTTTTTTGCTATTGCGTTCTTGCTCCTATTTTGAACCCCAATTGTGATTTTACCTCCATTTTCTTCCACTTTGTGTTTTTACTCCTGCTTTTCTAAAACGAAGGTTCAATTTACCCATACTCCGTAAATAGCAGGTAACGGTGTTAAAAAAATTGACAGATGACAAGTTTGCCCTTCCGAATATTGCGTTTTTGCCCCTATTTCAAATCCCAATTGTGATTTTACCCCCACTTTCTTCCACTTTGTGTTTTTACCTCTACTTTTCCAAAACGAAGGCTCCGTTTACCTCAATTCTTAACTTAGTTATCTACATCCGGATCAAAGCAATTAAAAATTAACAAAAGCCCTGTGAAAAGACAAACTTACCCCTTATCTCTCGGTCGTCTCTCTCAGGATCGTCCCTCTCAACACTAGCAGGCAGTGGGCGGTGGTGGCGGCGGAAGGCGGCGTCAGGCGGGCCTGGCCAGCGAGGCGCGTCTTGACTAAGCGGAAGAAGCGGCGCTTGGCGCGCTTAACTGGCGATGATAGGCTTGACCCGAGCCTGTGCGGCTCTGCTTAAGGCTTGTGGCAGCAGCAGCCCGGCGCGTCGTGGCCTTAGCGTCTCGTGAAAGCAACCGACCATGGAGCCGAAGACCCGTCTCTCTCTCAACTCTAGCGGATGGCTGGGTGCGGCGGCAGCGGAAGGCCAATGGCGGGCCCGTCGGGCGGTGTGCGGCGAGTGGGCGTGTGCGGCCGAGCAATGGGGCGGAGATCAGCGGGTCGAGCTATGATTTGGTGTTGCCTAGGTACAAAATCATAGCTCGGACTGTCCTCATCAACACGCCCACTCATCGCACACCGCCGCCCGGGACGGCCTTGTTGGCCGCCGCCCGCCGCCGCGCACTCGACCATCCGCTAAAGTTGAGAGAGAGAGGCGGGTCTTCGGCTCCATGGTCGGCTGCTTGCCACGAGACGGCGCTTCACGACGCCGGCTTAACCGCTGCGTGTTCAGCTTAAGTAGAGTCATGGCTCAGCGCTGCTGCTGCTGGCAGGTAAGTAGCGGCGTGCTGGTCAAGGCATACGTCGAGCTAAGGCCGCGCGCCGCTTCTCCTCCGCCAGCCGCACAGCCTGGGCCACCGCGCGCGGCCTGGACGGCCTGATTTGTCCTTGCCGCCGCACTTAGCCCGCCACGCGCGCTAGCATTGAGAGGGACAACCCTGAGAGAGACGACCAAGAGATAAGGGGTAAGTTTATCTTTTCACAGGGCTTTTGTTAATTTTTAATTGCTTTGATCCGGATGTAGATAACTGAGTTAAGAATTGGGGTAAACGGAGCCTTCGTTTTGGAAAAGTAGGGGTAAAAACACAAAGTGGAAGAAAGTGGGGGTAAAATCACAATTGAGGTTTGAAATATGGGCAAAAACGTAATATTTGGAAGGGCAAACTTGTCATCTGTCAACTTTTTTAACACCGTTGCCTGCTGTTAACGGAATAGGGGTAAACTGAACCTTCGTTTTGTAAAAGCAGTGGTAAAAACACAAAGTGAAAGAAAATAGGGGTAAAATCATAATTGGGGTTCAAAATAGGGACAAGAACACAATAGCCCCTTTTTTTTTGTGACAAATGGTTATGCTAGGTTTGTTCAACACTGATTTGTCAGGCGGAATACCTCCATCTATTGGAAATCTCTCAAAATTAACTATCCTTGATGCATACCATGCAAACCTGGAGGGATCAATTCCAGCAACCATAGGGACAACGAAGAATCTGATATCCCTTGATCTTGACATACAACCGCCTCAACGGTTCCATTCCAACAGATGTAATATGTTACCTGAAATGAATAAAGCCATACATGCTCAGATCTGTACTTCTTCCCACTAGAGTAGAGTGAAAACTAAAAGGCAACACTTATGCACAGTTTGCACATTTACGCATGCAATGTTTGAAGCTCCACAGCAGTGGCATACCGCACATCAACCATAATTGGTGCAAAGATTTCCTATTTGATGCACTACAGGAATTTCACAGTTGAGAACAAGCAATGCATGTACGAGTTAGAGTTACCACAGGCACATAGCAATCGTTTCACAACCTGAGCAATAACCAATCCTCTATTCCATTTCTTCACAACAATCATTAGTCCAACAGATATAGCACTCTGTCCCAGATTGATGGTGCAAAAGTCAACAAGGGACCTAACTACAGTCTACACACAAACCATCATCCATTAGTTTCCGTTTCCGTTCACTACTGCCACTTGTGCTAATAGATAGGAGTATAATACAAGCTGAGGCACCACTGGAAAGTGGACACACCACCCTACTGCTAGAAGTAGCGGATGGAGGAAACATGCAACTAAGAGGAATAGAGGACGCGAACATGGAGGTGCGCTTGGAGATAGCGTGCTTTTGCGAGCTCTCCTGGCGCGGAGTGGAGCGGACGAGACCGGGCTCCCGGCGGCCTCCTCCGCGAGCTTCCGGAAGACGTCGTCGATGAAGGACTGAAGAAGTTCTTGACGGGTGGTGCCGTGGCGGCGAGGCGACACGCCAATCTTCGGTGCCGACCACCCCCCGCGCGCCGACTAGCGGCCCACAGGAGCGGCCCAGCGGCAGCCCACGCGGGAGCGCGCGAGCTGACCTGGATGGACGTGCTTCCCGTGACTTGGCCCACTGGCGAGTGGTTCTGTAGTTGCGTTTTTTTTTCTTTTCCTTTTTTCTATTTCTTTTTAGTTTTTCCTTTTCTTTTCCTTTTCTTTTGTGTTGTTTTATTGTTCTTTTTATTTTTTTATTTTTCTTTTATTTCCTTTGTGCATTTTTCTTTCCGTCTTTGATTTCTTTTTTTTCCTTTTTCTTTTATTATGTGGTCTTTATTCGTCTTTCACTTTTTTATCCTTATCTTTATTGTATCTATTCATTTTTATTTTTACCTAATTAATTATTTTTTATTTCATTTTCTGTTTTTCTGTTTTTTTATTTTCTCCTATTTACTTCTCTTTTGTTCTTTTTATGTTTCGTGTAGATTTTTTCATTTTGGTTTTCATTTTCTAGTTTTATTTCTACTCTAATTATTTTTGTTTTAATCATTTTTCTTACTTTAGTTTTTTCATTTCCTTTTCTTATTTAAGTTCTTTATTTTATTTTTTATATATTTAGCATTTGTTATTTATGTTTTTTCATTTCTATTTTATTATTTTACTCTATTTAATTATTCTAACAATTTTATTTTTTACTCCTTTACCGTAGTGTACGAGTAGTCTTTTCAGTTGGTGAGGCTATCGAGAGCTGGAGACGTTCGTGCAAGGCACAGTAGCTATTTTGGTCCCTTAACCATTACTGAGGTTTAATTTTACCTCTAAACTTTTAAAATGGCCGTTCATGTCCTCAAACTTTAGTTTTAGGATTAATTTCATCCTACAACTATGAAGATGATCGTTTTAGTCATCAAACTTTGTATTTTGGGATCAATTTCATTCATAAACTATCAAAGTGCATTTAACTTTTATTTTCAACTCAAATTTGTCTATTCAAAAAGAGAACATTGTATTTTAGACACAATTTCATCCATAAATTATCAAAATTATAGATCTGCTATTGTTTCAATATATCCATGTATTCTTAATGAATAAATAGTGTTCGATGCAACTGTAATTGCTCCCGTAATATCATGTAGTCGAATATAGATAAATGGTACCATTACAGGGTAACACTAAAAATAACAGTTTAGAATTATTAATGGCCACGAAAGAGTTTTTGGATAAATATTATTTTTCTATCTCCAATCGCTGGTGGTGTTGGAGCTAACTAGGTGCAACAGTACAGCGTTACACGTAGAATGTAGACAACGTTGTGTTGAAAATAAAAGTTTAAAGACTAAAATACACTTTGATAGTTTATAAATGAAATTGAACCAAAAATGCAAAGTTCGAGGACTAAAATGATTGTTTTCATAGTTTTAGGATGAAATTGAGCCTAGAAGTAGAGTTTGAGGACTAAAACGGCCGTTTTGAAAGTTAAGGACGAAACTAAGCCTCGAGAAATAGTTGAGGACCAAAATAGCTATTGTACCTTCTGCAAAGAAGAAAAATGGGGGCCAGCCGCCTGCCGGAAATATTGTCCACGCACTCCCCAAGTCCCGACCGCACTAGCGAAGTGCGTCCTCCTTTTGAAACAAACGAAGTGCATCCTCCTTGCTCTTGTTATAGTGGGGGATGACCAGGCACGGTGCATAGGCGTGCGTGGAAAATTAATGCATGCCTGTCGATCGGATACTGACTGATCAGGTCAGTGTATTGTATACACTTTAATCTGGCAGCCGCGCACATTATATAGTACGTAGCCGTCACGGGATGGATTATATTCACCACGATATATATAAGTATTGGTATTATAAGTAGTCTAGTAGGGATTAGCATCATGCAAGCACCCAAAACCACTCACTGGTCACTACACATACCCATCGTCATCGATCGGCCAACAAGCACACCTGACCTGAGCAAGTTAAGCATCCGGCGTAGCAATGCGCTCACTGATCTTGCAGCTGCTGGCGCCTCCGCAGCTGCTATACGCCTCCGTGTCCATGTTGATTCTCGTGGCCGTGGCCGCACAAGCGGCCGGCGACGGGGCCGCACTGCTGGCGTTCAAGGCCGCGGCGATCGGCGGCGGCCACCACAACCACAACCCGCTGCTTCCTTCGTGGAAGTGGAACAGCACCAGCGCTGGCGGCTTCTGCAGCTGGTAGGGAGTCAGGTGCGGGGCTAGGCATCGCCGGGTGGTGGCGCTCACCCTACCCTCCTATGGCCTCACGGGCACCCTATCCCCGGCCATTGGGAACCTCACCTTCCTAAGAACTCTGAACCTGACCTCCAATGCGTTTCAGGGGAACATCCCTGCAAGCATCGGCCGCCTGGTACATCTCAAGGCGCTTGACCTGAGCTACAACACCTTCACCGGAGAACTGCCTGCAAACCTAAGATCTGTGCTAGTAGCTTACTGCTCTTGAACCTCCGCAACAACCAGCTCCATGGCCGTATTCCTGTTCAGCTCGGTCAGAAGCTCACAAACCTTCGTAAGCTCTCACTGAGAACGAACAGCTTCACGGGCGATATCCCAGTATCACTAGCCAACATGTCGCTTCTAAACTATCTTGATCTAGGTACAAACCAGCTCGAGGGACCCATACCACCTCAACTTGGCAGCATGGGAGACCACGCGCTAACGGATGTATATTATATCCCGTAGCTGTGTTCAAGCATCATCAGCATTGGTCAGTTGGATGAGCGTGGTAGCGAGGTACTGGTCAAGGATGGAGTCCTTAGGATCAGGGACCGGGAGCAGCGACTTCTCACCAAGGTGAAGAGGTCCATAAACCGGTTGTACCTGCTCGACTTGAAGGTAGAGCAGCCGATGTGTCTGGCGGCAAGGCACACCGAGGAGCCGTGGCTGTGGCATGCCCGGTTCGGACATCTCAACTTTGACGCGCTTGGTCGACTGAAGAAGATGGTCCGAGGGCTACCCCATATCAAGCACGGAGGCGAGCTATGTGACAGCTGACTGGCCAAAAAGTAGAGTAGGCTACCGTTTCCAAAGGCAGCCTCGTATCGCGCGAAGGACGCTCTCGAGCTCGTCCACGACAACCTTTGCGGGCCGATCACACCAGCCACAAACGGTGGTCGGTGGTACTTCCTCTTGCTCGTGGATGATTGCAGTCGCTACATGTGGCTGCAACTCCTGACGAGCAAGAATGAAGCGGTGGCGGCGATCAAGAAGTTCAAGATGCGCGCGGAGGCCGAGAGTGGCAAGAAGCTCCGCATGCTGAGGACTGATCGCGACGGCAAATTCACTTCGGTGGAGTTCGCTGCGTACTGCGCGGATCAGGGTGTGGTGCGACACCACACCGCGCCGTACTCGCCACAATAAAATGGCGTGGTGGAGCGACGGAACCAGATGGTGGTCGGCATGGCCCGATCCATGATGAAGGCCAAAGGCATGCCGACAAGGTCCTGGGGGGCGGTGACCACGGCGGTGTTCATCCTCAACTGTGCTTCGACCAAGGCCCTGATGGGCAAGACGTCGTTCGAAGCTTGTTATGGTCGCAAGCCGAGCGTGTCATTCCTCTGAACATTCGGCTGCATCGGCCATGTTAGGAAGAAGAAGCCGAACCTCACCAAGCTAGAGGACAGGAGCACATCGATGGTGTTTCTAGGCTACGCGAAGAGTACCAAGGTGTATCGGCTCTACGACCCACGCGGAGACAAGGTACTTGTCTCGCGCGACATCGGATTCGACGAGAAGGCGGCTTGGGACTGGAGCAGTCCGAGCATAGGGGAAGCTGGCGGCTTCACCAGTACCTTCGTCGTCGAGCACTTGATCATCCACGGTGGTGGAGACACTGGGGAAGAAGTGTTGAGTACTTCGGGGAGGAGTGCCGAGCACTCCAGCGACAGAGCCGAACACTCCTGAGGCAGTGCCGAGCACTTTGGGAGAGATGTCGAGCACTCCGAAAGAAGTGCCGAGCACTCCTAGAGGGATGCCGAGCATGCTAGGAGTGATGCCGGGAGGTTCTGCAGTGGTGATGACCACTCCAGGACGGGTGCCGAGCACTCCCATAGCGGAGCCAAGATGTCTTGCAGTGATGCCGACCACTCCAAGACTCAGACTGAACACTCCTACAGTGGTGTCAAGCACTGCAGGAGTAGTGACGAGCTGTCCAAAAGTAGTGCCGAGCACTGCAACCAGGGTGCCGAGCACTCTATGTGCTATGCCGAGCACTCCGGCAGAACAGGAAACTCCATCAACACTGATCGAGTTTGCCTCAGCTCCAAGTGACATCGCTGAGTTCGTGGATGCCTTCCACGAAGGTGAGGATGTGCGATTCCACAGGCTGGACGACCTCGTCGGCGGCACAGGGCCCTTAGGCCTGGCGGGTAACCTGCTCAACGACCCTGAGCTGCTTCTTGTCAGTGCTGAGGAACCACCCATGTTCGCGCTAGCCGAGCGCAATGGAAACTGGCGACGGGTGATGCTGGAGGAGATGAAGGCAATCGAGGAAAACGAGACTTGGGAGCTCGTCGATCCACCTCCAGGATGCCGTCCGATCAGTCTGAAGTGGGTGTACAAGGTCAAGCGGACGAGCTCGGCGTCATTGTCAAGCACAAGGCGCGCCTCGTCGCTCGAGGCTTTGTTCAGCGCGAGGGCATCGACTTCGAGGAAGTCTTTGCGCCAGTAGCACACATGGAGTCCGTTCATTTGCTACTAGCCTTGGCAGCAGCAAAGGACTACCGCGTCCATCACCTAGATGTTAAATCGGCCTTCCTCAACAGCGAACTGGCGGAGACGGTCTTCGTCAGGCAACCTCTAGGTTTCGCCGTCAAGGGAGAGGAGCACAGGGTGCTCGACTACGCAAGGCGCTCTACGGGTTGCGGCAGGCCCCACGAGCATGGTACGCCAAGCTTGACGCCACGCTGGGCGAGCTTGGGTTTCAGCTGTGCGCAACCGAGCACGCACTCTACACGTGGCGACGGGGGAAGGAGCTCGTCGTCGGCGTGTATGTGGACGACTTGATTGTCATCGGTGCGCGCACGGAGGACATCAACAGCTTCAAGCGCGAGATGGCGGCTCGTTTTCGAATGAGCGATCTCGGCGCACTCTCCTACTACCTCGGCATCGAGGTGACACAGGGGAAGGAGGAACTCACGCTTGGTCAGAGCGCGTATGCCTCAAAACTGTTGGAGCGGAGCGGCATGCTTGAGTGCAAGCCATGCATGACTCCGATGGAGGAGCGGCTGATGCTGATGAAGACCAGCACCGCGACGAAGGTGGATGCAACACTCTACCGGAAAATTGTCGACTGTCTGTGCTACCTAGTTCACACGAGGCTGGACATTGCGTTCGTCGTGGGCTACGTCAGTCGCTTCATGAAGGATCCCAGAGAGGATCACTGGGCTGTGGTGAAGCGGCTACGACGCTACGTCAAAGGGATGGTGCATCAGGGGATAATCTTTCCCAAGATCGGCAGGAGTAGGCTGCAGCTCACTGTGTTCAGCGATGCAGACATGGCGGGAGACATCGACGGACGACGGAGCACCTCTGGTGTGCTCGTCTTTCTCGGGTCGGCTCCAATTTCATGGTTGTCGCTGAAACAAAAGGTGGTGGCGCTGTCTACGTGTGAGGCATAGTACGTATCGGCGGCCACAGCGGCGTGCCAAGTTGTGTGGCTGCGCCGACTGCTGGGCGAGCTAACCGGTGCGGAAGCTCACCCACTAGCACTGATGGTGGACAATCTGCCCCCAATATGCTAGTTGGAGATGCTTGTTAGACTCATGATGTTATGGTAGATCCTCATCATGAGATCCCTTTGACACAGAATCATCCGAGTAAGTGTCTTATCCGCATGGTTATTGGAAGCTTACCCTATTCCTTACATCTAATTTTTCATTCTTTCCTCATTTTTTACTTATGTTGCAGTAGATATTCCTGACAATGTGGATATGCCCACTGTTGCTGCGCAAGTGCTCTATGAAGATGGATTCTGTGGCTCCAATAGTGTTGAAATTATGAATGATTTGGAGCCATATAAGATGGCAAGGGCTCTTGATTCTGATGATGATCGTCCTGTTGGAGAGCTGACAGAGACTGATGTTGAGATGCTGAGGTGTATCTTTCCCGACCGCCATGATCCAAGAGTTCACGAGTTCAGCGATCTTGCTCATTCCGATCAGGTGTGTGCAGAAGGATGTGATGATGAGCTCCTAAAAGCTCCTGAGGCCATCCCTAACATGGTAATTGAGAATGGGAGGGTATTCAAGGACCTCCCTGCATTGAAGAGATGGTTTTAGGCGTTTGCAGTGATACAAAAGAGACCTTACAAGGTCTTGCATTCATATGCGGAGTGCCGTTACACAGTTGTGTGTGACAAGGAACGCCACCCATGGAGGGTTTGTGCAAGGAAGCAAAAGGTCACCGGAAAGTGGAAGATCACAAAAGTTGTCGGGCAACACAATTGTACTGACCATGTGCTGATATTGAAGCATCGATAGTTGACATCTACCCTCATTGCCAAGCGGTTGATGGGAATATTGCAGGGAGAACCCAACATAAAGGTTAGGACAATTATCAAGACCGTTGAGGCGTTGTATGGAGGTTATGTGATAACTTATGGTAAAACTTGGAGGGCTAAGCAGCGACCGTGGAAGATGATATATGGGGACTGGGAGGATAGGTATGAGCAGCTACCAGTACTTTTCAATGCAACCAAAGCGGTGAATCTAGGCATGCATTATGAGTACATCCCAAAACTAAATGCATGAAAGAATAGGAGGCAGATATTCTTTCGTGCTTTCTGGTGATTCTCTTAGTGTGTCGAGGCCTTTAGGCACTGTCGTCCCATCTTCTCTATTGATGGTATATTCTTGATTGGCAAATACCAGGGCACACTTCTTATAGCCATATCCTATAACACGAACAACAAGTTGGTTCCTTTAGCATTTGCTTTGGTTGAGAAGGAGAACAATGACAGTTGGGGATAATTCTTGAGGCTAGTCTGGATACATGTGTTTGGGCCTGGCGGGGAGGTTGGCGTCATATCTGATAGGCACTAGGCCATACTTAATGCCGTGCGAGAGCAGATAGAGGGGTATGCACCTTTGCACCATCGTTGGTGTACTCGACACCTTGCCGAGAATCTACTCCGAAAGGATGGTGTGAAGGATAACTTTGATCTGTTCTAGGAGGCTGCTCGAT